CCAGACTTCGTTCTTGTTTATGGCTGAGTAATATTCCACTGTGTATATATAGACCACATCTTTTTATCCATTCATCAACCGATGGGCACTGGGACTACTTCCATATCTTGGCGATTGCAAATAATGCTGCCATGAACATCAGGACGCATGTATCCATTTGAATTAGTGTTTTTGTAGTCTCTGGGTAAATACCCAGTAGTGTGATTACTGGCTCATAGGGTGGTTCTATTTTTAACTTTTGGAGGAACCTCTGGATCAGGAGTACTTGTCAGTGGGTGGATGGATTAACAAGGAGGTTGCAAAGGTTATTATGTCTGTTTAGAAACTGCAAACTGCTGGCAGCTTCAGAAATCCACAAGTATGTAACAACTCAGACCGAAGTTACATTCTCCCATACGTTCCAAAACCAACGCTCCTGATCAGTGGGTGGCAATTCAGGGGCCCAGGCTCCTTGCATCTCATAGCTCTGCTGTCCTTCTCTGTGGCTTCTGACGTGGCCACTGTGCCTTCTGATGTCAGTACGCCGTGCTTCCAGAAGGAGCACAGCATAAGGACCGCACGTGCAGTCCATTGGCCAGAACGCAGCCACACAGCCACGCTGGCTGCACGGGAATCTGGGAGATGTACCTGGGCTCTGTGCCCACGAAGAAGAGAAGGAAAATGTCTGGGAGCCACGAGCCACAGTCTGCTGTCGGCATTTACATGGGGGGTGCTCAGAGTGAGCCTGAACTGTGGGGCTCGAAGGCCTCAAGCAGGTCAAAGCCTTCGTTTATTATTATTTTTTAAGTGTTTATTTATCTATTTTGAGGGAGTGAGTTAGAGAGAGAGCAGGGGGAGGAGCAGAGAGAGAGGGAGATAGAATCCCAAGCAGGCTCCACACTGTCAGTGCGGAGCCCAACACGGGGCTCGAACCCAGGAAACGTGAGATCATGATCGAGAGTCGGACGCTTAACCGACCGAGCCACCTGGGCGTCCCCAAAGCCTTCTTTTAAACTCACAGCTACACGAGCCCAGGCCCAAGGTGGGCCCCAGATGGTTCCTTCCTTCTCTTTCCTATGAATGGGGAAATACTAGAAAGTCTGGGGATGGGGAAAACCCCTTAGGCATTTGGGACGCTTGCAGGAGTGAACATGCTAGATTTCTGGATTTGGACATATCTCCACCAGCGTGAGCATAACCCCACACAAGCCAAGCCTCAGAGTTTTCTTGTCCAGCTCAGGGTATTAGGTGACCAAGACTCTGGGGGATCCTTCCAGGGATTGGAACCAGCAGACCTTCGACTATCTCCTGAGCCGTGTCCATTCTCCCAACGCCGCAAGCGTGGGCCTGGCCCTAGTCTCAGGCTACAACCTCTTCCATGAAGCTATTCCGGTGAGTGAGGAGTCCTTGACCATGGGGCAGAGCCTCGATCACAGACCAGGGCTGGGGACCCGAGTCAGGGAGTTACTTTGAGCCTTGTAGGTGGACCAACTCTTGCATTCAAATCAGGTTTACTTTAAATTCTCTTTTTGCTTTAAAATTATTTCTGGTTCCAATTTGGCTCTTAAATTGGCAGAGACCAAAGAATTTTCGGATGACGCAGGGGACCTGGTCTCTGGTTGAGTCAAACCCAGACACGTCTTGTAGTGGTGGTGATTTCATGTGGCAGCCGCAAGGCTTCCTGGGTCCCTGGAGGTCCCAGGACTTTTCACTAAGATAGATTAAAACACTCAGCGTGGCGCAAACTTCTGAAGCGCATTTTATGTACCAGGCCGTGTCCTAATTACGTTACAACTAGTGACTGGTTTCATTCTCATTATGACCAGCAAGTCAGCACTAGCATTGGCTTCTTTTCACAGATGAGAAAATAGAGGCTTGGGGGAACGGATCAGTAACTTGCTCAAAGTCAGAGAACCAAAGTGGCAGAACTGGGATTTGAACCCAGGCCCTCTGTGACCCCCGTGGTGCCCAATGTGCTAAGAAGGGCACAGCCTTGGGGGATGTCCTCAGGTTGCTGGAAGAGGGGAGTCTGGCTGGACGCCCGGAACCCCAGGCCAGCTCTCTAAGGCTTAGTCAATGTTTAGCACCGAGCTAAGGGCATTACCCGCATTGTCTGTTACCTTCTGTGGGACCAAGCGTGGTTACTGACTCCATTTTACGGACAAGAAAATGGAGTCTCAGAGAATTCAAGGTGGTCTGTAGTCAGGCCCAAGCCTCCACCAAGTTGTCTGACCCTATTCTCTATTGCCTCGCACTCTCACCCCTTGGGAACCCTGTCACCTTCTTTTTCTCTCTTATTTCTGACTCTTACCCTCCCTATCACTTGCCCTCAGCCTCACACTCCCCTTTCCTTTGTATAGCGTCACGGTGAAGACCATGGACTCTGGAGCCCAACTGTACTATTGGTTCAAACCTCAGGTCAATCATTTATTAGCTGTGTGACTGTAGACAAGTTACTTCACCTCCTGAAGCCTCAACTGGCCCATCTGTGAAAACGGAGATGAGAATAGTATCTGCCTCCGTGGATTGCTGGGGATATTAAAGGGAGTGGGATAAATAAAATGCTTCGAAGTGCACCTTCCACGCAGTACACGTCGTTTAAGTTTTGTTACCGTTTTTATTGACTTTCACTCATCCCTGTGCCTCCTTCTCTCCTTCCTCGGCAGGATCCCTCGTGGAAGAACACAGTTCTGGGATTTCGGACGCTGACTCCCAGGGACCTGGACATGTTCCCTGATTACAGGTGAGGTTATTGTCATGGGCGAAGGGGCTACGGTCCCACGATTCAGACGGATCCGTCCAGGAGGCAGCGAAAGATGGAGACACCAAGTTTCCTGTCCCATCCCAGGCCAAGAGCCACCGGCACCAGAGACTCCTGGTGCTCTGTCCAGCTCTATTGGAGAAGCCACCCCCTCAACGGTACCCTGGGCTGGGGCGGTGGAGGATATGGAGTCACAGAACTGAAGCCTTGAAGCTCCCTATCGCCACCCTCTTTTCTAGATGACGAAACGGAGCTTCAGAGAGTCTAAGCGGCTTCCCAAGGTCACACAGCCAAATGACCAAAATGGGATTCCGACCCAGTCTGCGTGACCCCCAACACCTCTGTTCTTTTCCTTGAAGCCTAATGTCTCTTTGGTCCTCCCCTCACCCCACCCCATGCCTGAATCCCCTCTAAAAATGCATGTCCAATCTCCACTTGCACACTCTAATGTCAGGGATGGATTTTTAAACAATTTTTTATCTATTATTTTTTTTTTTTAATTTTTAAAATATTTATTTATTTATTTGAGAGAAAGAGACAGAGCATGAACAGGGGAGGGCCAGAGAGAGAGGGAGAC